AAAACCGCCAGCTGCACAGGCTCATGAAGGTGAATGCTGCTTCATGCAGGTCCACCTAACTTGCTGCCTGAGCCTCCAGTGACAGCCTACCCCACCGGTGCTCGTGAAGAAAACCAAACCAAGCCCGGGTCCCTCTGCTGAACCCCATGGGGCCCGGAACGGCTGGCTGTACACCCCCCTATAGACAGCCCTGTCTCCACCCTTCCCCCGAATCTACAGCGCTGCTGTCAGGGCAGGACAGTGGGACGTTTATAAAACAGGAATAAAGCTGGCGCTGGACCTCAGAGGGTCGAGTCTGCAAGGGGGGGGCCACACTGGAGTAATGCAGCAAAAACTTTTTTATTATAGTTCAAGCCACTTCCTGTTTTAGAGTGACAACTGCCTGCCATGTGTTCTCCTGCGTAGTCACCCCTGTCACATGTACCCCCGGTGGAGACTACAAGCAGCCACGCTGACACATGTGTAGCAGGGGCGTAACTAGAAATCACAGGGGCCCCGCAGCAAAATTTTGTATGTGGGCCCTGTGATTTCTAGTTATGCCACTTGCGGAGCCCACCTGATATACCAAACAGCCCACCTGAGAGTCACCCTGCAGAGCCCGCCGTAGACTCTCTCAGGTGTCGGTGATCTAACAGCGGCGCGTTCCTCATCACAGCCGCCAGTGACGGCCAGCACCCTGATATGCCATGGCGACCCGCACAGCATCAGATGGATGCCCGGGCCGGGCGCCCCTGTGCCCCGGGCCCCATAGCGGCCGCCTGGGTCGCTATGGCGATTGTTACGCCACGGATGTGTAGCCATAATCTGTTGTTGTCGGGAGGCTGATGGAGCCGACACGGGAGAGAATGCACTTAGACAGGAAGTGGCATGTAGACAGGAAGTGGCATGTAGACAGGAAGTGGCCGGAGGAGATCAGCAGCACTGAGGAAAACAATGGCAGCTCTCTATGGTACAGAACAGAACGACGGGCTCACCTGGGCAGTGCCGGGCTGATGATCCTCCGCACGCTGCCAGACGTGAGCGCCTTCCTGTTTGGCGTCCATCTTGGATAAATCTTGTAGGCGGTGGTTGCTCTTCTGTGCGGGAGCTCGACGCAGAGCTCTCACCTGTTCTCTGTGCTTCTCCTCAAACACAACTTACACAGCCGGGGCAACATGGCTGCAAAGAGAGGAGGTCAGAGTCAGCGTCCACATTCCAGTATTACCACCAGGAAACAAACATATAAGAGGCGGAGCCACCAGACTGAAGATGAACTCCGCCCACAACAACTCTCATTTACATATATATTCCATTACAGTCACAAAGGATATAAAACTACATTGTGCGCACCAAATGCCAGATATTACCTTGTAAATATAGCAATGACATCATCACTGTGCTGTACATAGCCTGTGCAGAGAGCAGAGCAGTGGGAGGGGTCCAGCAGGTCCCACCCACTACAGGCTGTCTGCAGAATACTACAGGAGGGGGCGGAGATAAGACCAGTCACCCTGCACAAGGAGAGAGAGCAGCAGTGACCGGTCTTTATTACTGGAGGGGGCGGAGACAAGACCAGTCACCCTGCACAAGGAGAAAGAGCAGCAGTGGGCAGTCTCTATTACAGGAGGGGGCGGAGCAGAGACCAGTCACCCTGCACAAGGAGAGAGAGAGATCAGCAGTGGGCGGTCTCTATTACAGGAGGGGGCGGAGACAAGACCAGTCACCCCGCACAAGGAGAGAGAGCAGCAGTGACCGGTCTTTATTACAGGAGGGGGCGGAGACAAGACCAGTCACCCTGTGCAAGGGGAGAGCAGCAGGGACCAGTCTTTATTACAGGAGGGGGCGGAGACAAGGCCAGTCACCCTGTGCAAGGGGAGAGAGCAGCAGGGACCAGTCTTTATTACTGGAGGGGGCGGAGACAAGCCCAGTCACCCTGTGCAAGGGGAGAGAGCAGCAGTGGGCGGTCTTTATTACTGGAGGGGGCGGAGACAAGCCCAGTCACCCTGCACAAGGAGAGAGAGCAGCAGTGACCGGTCTTTATAACAGGACGCACCTGCGGGGGAAGACTCCTGCGTGTTTTTAGCGTTTTCTGGTGTTTATTTTGCGTCGCTCTCATTTGATTGATTTACATTTTATGTAATAAATGTCGATTTATTTTTCCTCATCGCGGGAGAACGGATATTTTTAGTCCTGATGAAATATCTGAATTCTCATTCCCGGTGCCAGCGATTTATATACGGAGCCGATTCTTCATCATCCGACCCGCTCCATAGGGCAGCCTGATGGGCCGCGCCAGCGGGAGGGTGACGGCACTCCAAGTCACATGACCTCCTTTCTTATTATAGGTGTGCTGCCATGAGCGAGAGATGAGACACATTTCCCGGCTCCATCCCACCCAGAGTCCGGATCATCATCAGAGAGAATATTACTACACAAAATGTCCCCATTGTGGGAGGGGCAGAGACACAAACTACTGGGAGGAAATCTCAACATTGTGGGAGGGGCAGAGACACTAACTAATGGGGGAAATCTCACCATTGTGGGAGGGGAAGGGACACAAACTACTGGGGGGAAATCTCACCATTGTGGGAGGGGCAGAGACATAAACTACTGGGGGGGTGATCTCACCATTGTGGGAGGGGCAGAGACATAAACTACTGGGGGGGTGATCTCACCATTGTGGGAGGGGCAGAGACATAAACTACTGGGGGGGTGATCTCACCATTGTGGGAGGGGCAGAGACATAAACTACTGGGGGGGTGATCTCACCATTGTGGGAGGGGCAGAGACATAAACTACTGGGGGGGTGATCTCACCATTGTGGGAGGGGCAGAGACATAAACTACTGGGGGGGTGATCTCACCATTGTGGGAGGGGCAGAGACATAAACTACTGGGGGGGTGATCTCACCATTGTGGGAGGGGCAGAGACATAAACTACTGGGGGGGTGATCTCACCATTGTGGGAGGGGCAGAGACATAAACTACTGGGGGGGTGATCTCACCATTGTGGGAGGGGCAGAGACATAAACTACTGGGGGGGTGATCTCACCATTGTGGGAGGGGCAGAGACATAAACTACTGGGGGGGTGATCTCACCATTGTGGGAGGGGCAGAGACATAAACTACTGGGGGGGTGATCTCACCATTGTGGGAGGGGCAGAGACATAAACTACTGGGGGGGTGATCTCACCATTGTGGGAGGGGCAGAGACATAAACTACTGGGGGGGTGATCTCACCATTGTGGGAGGGGCAGAGACATAAACTACTGGGGGGGTGATCTCACCATTGTGGGAGGGGCAGAGACATAAACTACTGGGGGGGTGATCTCACCATTGTGGGAGGGGCAGAGACATAAACTACTGGGGGGGTGATCTCACCATTGTGGGAGGGGCAGAGACATAAACTACTGGGGGGGTGATCTCACCATTGTGGGAGGGGCAGAGACATAAACTACTGGGGGGGTGATCTCACCATTGTGGGAGGGGCAGAGACATAAACTACTGGGGGGGTGATCTCACCATTGTGGGAGGGGCAGAGACATAAACTACTGGGGGGGTGATCTCACCATTGTGGGAGGGGCAGAGACACAAACTACTGGAGGAAATCTCGCCATTGTGGGAGGGGCAGAGACGCAAACTACTGCATTTGTTAGGGTATTTTGGGGACCATTACAAGAAATGGAAAGTCCCGGCACGCTTTAGGGCTGGATAGGATTAGTTTATAGCAATTATCAGGTTCCATTAAAGAAGAATGACGTTCATCTATCATACGACGCGGGTCTGTGTTCCGCGTAGGCGGCTCTGTATAAAAGGTGACCGTGGTTGGAGTCTGTATCATGGCTGACCACCCCCATGCTGCATGATTATACATTGCAGTGAATGGAGAGGAGCGCTCGTCTGGGCTCCCCGTGTCTCATCCACCATTACCGAGAGGTGGAAAAGAAGCAATAAGCCGCCGATTCCTGCTGGAGCCGCCCACGCACAAAGCTCCGGAATTCATTATCCGGATAGAGAGAGCCTGGAACATGGCCGCCGGAGCCCACGGTGATGGATCGGCTTCATATGAGGCTGCAAACAATTGGCCTGAAGCCCCCAACAGCCTCACAAGCATCTGTAGTATTGATTGTATGAAAAGACTATGTTATAAAGTAGATACATGTAACCAGGTGACGCTTCCTTTGCTTTGAGTACTTTGTATCTTTTTTTTATATAAAATCCTAATTGTCTCTGTTTTTGTATCTTTTGTCAGATCTCTGTGTGATTTTAGGAGGCCATTCACTAAAGCTGGCCAATGCATGGCATGAATTCCAGCCATCAGCCGAAATCTGAACCATAGGTGACCCAGTCGGCACCACCACCCAAAGATGATGGAAAATTGTTGGCTGAACAGTGAGTGGTAACCAATCAGATGCAGTCACTGTTCTGGTATTTAGGACAGCTGCCGGTGCTGTCTGTACAATAGGCGGCAGGGGAGATTGCACCCATCCGTGCTGTTGAATGTGAAGCAAGGGGTGTGGCCAGACCCCAGGATAATGCCTGTGAGAGAAACCCAGCCATGCATGTCTAAAAATGACTAGACCTCCAACTCACATTACCTATGTACAAAAAGCACCACAACACGTAGCTGCGGTCAGGGACGGTGTTTACGCTCTCTGCTGCCCCAATGCCGGGTTCCTCAATGCGTCACCCCCCCCCCTGTATGCAGGCTGCAAACAAGTGATCTTGACAACAAAACAAGCGGCGGCTTCCCCGCTGTACATTTAGCTCTGATTGCCCAAAGCCGGGCTAAATGTAGAACATAACTGCCCCTCTACTCCCTGCTGCCCCGAGGCCGGGCCTTGGTTAGCATTGTGGAAATCCGGCCCTGGATGTGAATGTGCATGGATCGTGGGGCGCAGCACATAAGATGTGAATGCGCATGGATCCCAGCACATAGATGTGAATGCGCATGGATCGCGGGGCGCAGCACATAGATGTGAATGTGCATGGATCGCGGGGAGCAGCACATAGATGTGAATGCGCATGGATCGCAGGGAGCAGCACATAGATGTGAATGCGCATGGATCGCGGGGAGCAGCACATAGATATGAATGTGCATGGATCGCGGGGAGCAGCACATAAGATGTGAATGCGCATGGATCGCAGCACATAGATGTGAATGCGCATGGATCGCGGGGCCCAGCACATAGATGTGAATGTGCATGGATCGCGGGGAGCAACACATAAGATGTGAATGCGCATGGATCGCGGGGTGAGCAGCACATAAGATGTGAATGCGCATGGATCGCAGCACATAGATGTGAATGCGCATGGATCGCGGGGCCCAGCACATAGATGTGAATGTGCATGGATCGCGGGGAGCAACACATAAGATGTGAATGCGCATGGATCGCGGGGAGCAACACATAAGATGTGAATGCGCATGGATCGCGGGGAGCAACACATTAGATGTGAATGCGCATGGATCATGGGGCGCAGCACATAGATGCGCATGGATCGAGGGGAGCAGCACATAGATGTGAATGCGCATGGATCGTGGGGCGCAGCACATGGATTGAGAAGTGTATATGCTTTATATCTGACCCCCCCTCCCCGTCCTCCTGACTACAGAGACACATGAATGATGAGCTCCGTGTCCTCTGCGGCGCTCCGACACCTGAAGACAAAGTGTTCCTATGGTGGGTGCAGCGACAGGTCTGCAGGGGGTGCAGCGACAGGTCTGCAGCGAGAGGTCTGCAGGGGGAGCAGCGACAGGTCTGCAGCGAGAGGTCTGCAGGGGGAGCAGCGAGAGGTCTGCAGGGGGAGCAGCGAGAGGTCTGCCGGCGGTGCAGCCAGAGGTCTGCAGGTGTTAACATGCGTTGCAATGGGCTGCCTAACGCAGCAAAAAGCTTCATATGTACCATTGCCGATAGTGCGCTAGATGTGGCGCGGCGACGCATATCTGTCAGCGAGGTGTGATGGGGCGCCACTCAGAATGATCGGTACAACATTGCAGCAGCACGTGTAATGCGCTCGTTACCGCAGCTCACAGCTATGCATGGGCCTGTAACCCTTTCGCTGCCACTGATGCATGCTAAAGCCTGGTTACATGTGTAAAGCCGACTTTCAGGCCGCATGTTCTCCGGTCCGATCGCCACCGCGCGCTCACATACATGCATACAAGATGGCAGAAGAGAA